TAAGTGTTTTACTGCATTGGCTCATTTAATTCTCACAGTAGCTCTCGGATGAGGAAACAGATGTCCAGAAATGTAAATAACTTGGTTAAGGATCCCAAGCCGATGATGGAACTTTGGCTATAGAAGTCACATTCTTTGTTTTGTTTTGGTTTGGTTTTTTGAGACAGTGGCTCACTGTGCAGTCCAGGCTGGCCTTGAATTCACTATGTAGCCCAGGTTGGCCTCACACTTGTAGCAATCCTCCTGACTCAGCCTCCTGAGTGCTGAGATTACAGGTATGCACCACCACACCTGGAGGCACCATGCCCCTGAGCTACATCCCTGGCCCAGAAGTCACGTTCTTAAGTACTGGAGTAGTCTACTTTGTAATCTGCAGAGCTCCTTTCAGATGTAACTTTTGAGTAATATGTATGATATTGTTATTAACAGTTATATGGTATTAAGTTACTGTATAAAACAAATGAATATATAGTATCCTAGTGGAAATACCCTTTATTGCCATAATCTCATTTGTACAATGCTCTGGGATGACTTTTTTAGTTTTCTCCATCTTATATATATATTTTTCCTAGTTAATCCCTCCATAGGACTGCAGGATACATAGATATTTTAAAGTTTTCTCTTATGTTGTATTGTTATTTATTTATTTATATGTTTGAGACAAGGTCTCACTATGTAGTTCAAGCTGTACTTGAATTCACTGTGTAGCCCAGGCTGCCCTTGAACTTGAGGCAATCCTCCTGCCTCATCCTCCCAAGTGCTAGGACTACAGATGTGTGCCATCAGGCCTGGCTTCTTATATTGGGTCTTGTCTTATGTATTGTGCCCTACCCATAGTTTTATAATAGATGCCTAAGAACTTACTGTAAAAACATGTCTAGGAAGGCCTGTGAGATGAATTAGCCACTTCAGCATAAATCACATTGTCTATCAGGGTGATTCAGAGGTCCCACTACAGTATGCCCTTTTGTACTCCGGTGATATTGATAGGTCAGAAAATCATTGCTGATTTTCTGAAAAAGTAATTGTTTTGTGACTTTCTTCCCTTCTGCAGGAAGATCTGTTTCAACAGCCAGGCCTGAGGTTGGAATTTGAACATATCAGGGACTGTTTGGATACTGGAATGATTGATGACCTCTGTATCCTTCAGCCATTCAGCTGTGTGTGTGTGTGTGTGTGTGTGTGTGTGTGTGTGTGTGTGTGTGAATATGAGAGAGATGAGCAAAGGGAAATAATATTTTAAAGTTCAAAGTCTGCTATTGTGTTCCCAGCAATCATGTTTTTCCTACTTGAAGTTTGCATAGAGAAGACTTGACAACTTTAAGCAACTAATACATCCGGAACTCAGGAGGGCCTAGCTCACCGGACAGACAGCTTTGAGATGTCAGCCTGGCGTGCCAGCCCTGAACAGAGAGCTTGACTGGGCAGGAACATTTGTAGCATGTACTTGTCCCCAGGCCTTCTCTTAACCAGAGCCAGTGAAGCAAAATCACCTGTTCCTTAACGATGGGCCAAAAGCTGCTAGCAATCATTCTGTAGCTGAAGCCTTGCTGCTTTTCCTGGAGAGTCTTCCAGAGCCTGTGATCTGTTACAGTGCCTACCATAGCTGCTTGGAGTGTTCTGGTAATTACGCAGTGAGCAAACAGGTGAGAGGAGGCACTTAACATCACTGTACATGTGTGGCTCTCCCTAGGCCCAGGAGGCCTGATGGAACAAATTGGGCACTTCCCTGTAAGTGCAGTGTCTTAGAAACTTAACACCATATCCTTCCTTCTCAAACCTGTTCTTCTTCTTCCTTTTCTTTTAATAGCATCACCCTTAATTGTAGTGACTCAACTCTGAAACCTGAGTCATTTCTTACTCTTCCCTCTCCTCCCCACACACCCAGGCCCCCTGAACTATCACCATCTTCTCCCTCCCATTCTCATTCTGTTTACCTCAGTTCAGTGCCCTGCATCTGGGCTCGCCCTCTGCTATCTAATAGTGTATTCTAAAGTTCTCATCGTATTGGTCAAAAACCATTCTTGGCTCTCCATTGTCAATTAATTATTTTCTTAAATATTCAGGACCTTATTTGATTTAGCCTAATAGTTTCCTTATATAATACTTATACTTAACAGAATAGTATAGAAAACTTGCCAGTAATAGAGGTTCCAGAGCTTTACCCCAAAAACACTGAATCAGAATGTCTTTTAGAATCTATTTTGTGTAAACTGCCCAGCTGATTCTGCTATTCATTGAAGTCAGACCTTAAAACATATTAAAAGGTTAATTCTCATCAGAATTGACTTCTTATAATATGTTCTCTCTCCTTATCTCTCCCTTTAACTTTCACCTTTTAAGCACTTTCTTTGCTCCAAATCTCTCACCTTTATAGGTCTCCTTTGCCTTATAGGTCCATTTTTGTCTTATACCCAAGACCCAACTAAAATGTCTTCTATTTCCTTAAGTCATCTCAGAACATAGAGCAAGAAGTCTGACCTCTAAATTCATGTGCTGTTTGACCAGTGCTTCTCTTATGGTACTTAGGTCAAGTGAAGTTTTCTGCATTTGATTGTACTTATGTTCATAGATTATGTACTCAGGACCTGGAATATAGGCAACCTGACAATTAAGTGAACAAATAGATGCCAACTCTCTCTCTTTCAGGTCATTTCTACTCTCCCCACATTCCACAAAAATGTCTTCAACTACTTAATGGCATTTTTGCAAGAACTGCTGAAAAATTCAGTGAAAAATCATTTGGATGAGAATATTCTAGGTAAGCAGCTAGCTAGGTAAGTATTTAGGAAAGCGTATCTGCAAAATGACTTATTATGAGAAAAGACGTTGAGGAGGGTCCCAGTAGAATTTAAATTTCAAGCTCTGGGCAAAGTTTACACTCACATAATTTTTTGCTTTGTTTGTTTCAAAGCAGAAAATACTGCTCTTTGGTAACCCCTTTTCTGCTCCTAAAGAATAAGTAGTACTGTCTGTTGCTGAATCATTTGTTTTCTTTTTTTCCATACAGCGAGCATATTTGGCAGTTTACTGCTTCGAAACCCAGCTGGTCACCAAAAGCTTGAAATGACAGATAAGAAGAAGGCTCAAGAGTTTATTCACCAGTTCCTCTGCAACACACTCTGAACCTCTCCATCTCCTTCTTTGTTTTATCCAAGGCAGCCAATTGCCATCCCCAGCAGTTTCAGCTCAAGTGATGCCTTACGATGGTATGAAACCACCTGGAAGCAAGAATGGCAGCTATCTGATTCCTGAGCCCACACCTCCCCCTATCCTACCATAGGGTTAGCGTGCTCAGTTTTGAGTTGTGAAGACATGGGGGAAATCCACCACAATAAAACTGACATTTGGTGTTCAACTTTAGTTAACACAGATCTCTATTAATTCTTTATTACTTTAAAAAATTTAGGCCAGGCATAGTGGTGCTCACCTGTAATCCCAGCACTTAGAGTCTGAGGCAGGAGGATCATGAATTCAGTACCAACCTGGGCTACATAGCAAGTTCAAGGCCACTGTGGAATACATAGACTGAAAAAAACAAAGATTAAAAAAAGAAAGAAGGTGACTGTACTCACTCAGCCTTGCTCCAGGGCATACTTAATACCATACCTGTAGCTGAGCTCTTTACGACCAGATATTTGAATAAACTTTGAAGTCCTAAAAGGAAAATGAGTTGGACAGCACGAATTCACGTGGAGAGTCCTGGATAAACAAGCCTCAGCCACCTCAGTCATTTTCATTTCTCAGTCTGAGGACAATGCAGACAAGCATACGGGAACTCTACCCCCTTCCTACTCAGATAATGGCTCAACTCTGAGGCCAGTCACTCAGCTTCAGAGGGCAATACGGTGGCTTACAGGTGAAAAAGGAAATGCGTGTTCTGGTGAAGCAAGCGAGAATATCTAGGCCAGCAAATCCTCCAAACTGTATATTATGCATCTCTGCTCATATTTGTAATATATTTTAATGATAAATGTATTTTTAACAGTGGTGGTTGTGTTCTTTTAAGAGATGGCAGTCCTTGGCAGTCGGACCTTTGGGGTTTAAGCATTGAGACAGCTGATCAGGAGCCAGAGACAAATGCCTGGCAATCTGGTGAATAACAGTCACTAATCAGATTTTCCAAGGAAGAGATGGTGGGCCATGCCCTGAACCCTTGATTTAGTCTTCCAGGGGCTCTCTCTTACTTAATATTACAGAGGTAGTTCACGAGAAAAACAGGCAATGGCTGCTGGGAGGATCTAACAGCTAGATCTTACAGAAACTTAGAAAAGACGACAGCATACTAAAGATACGCACAAAATCGTTTCTTGGGCTCCAGTATGCCACTATTTCTTGCCAGTGTAGTGACAACGACAGGATGAATATGGCGATAAAGAAAGGGAGTGACCAGTAGGTGGCGTTGACTGGCTGGCGGAGTGGGGGGCGGATCCTCTGCAGGGGAGAAAAGTTGGGGCAGCCAGGCTGGGCAGGAGTACAAAGAGAAAGGAAACTGGGCGTTTTAGGAAAGCGTGCTGAGAAGTGAGCAGCGTCCTCTCTGGCTGGGCGTGGAATGCTCCTAGCTGTCTTTTTGAGTCCAGTCCTTTCCTTGATCCTCTGGCCTTGTTAACTTCGCTGAGTGACAAGGGGGCGCTGGAGCCCTAAAGGAAGGAAGCCAGGAATAGCCTCGCCCCTCACAGGTCCGAGCCGGGAATCTGATAGCTAACTGGCGTCCTTTCCGTTACAGTCCAGTCGTGGCGCAAGCTGGGCTGATGATATGTTGTATTTGTGGTTGGGAGTCGCTGCCTCTTTCTAACGCACATCCTCGAAAACCAGAGAGCTTCCCGGTATACCCCGAAGCTCACCTAGCCAGCGACGACTCACGGCGCCCCGCCCCGCCCTGCGGCTCACCCTGCCCTTGCAGCTCGCCAATTGGACGCTCGGGCTCAGCCCCCAGACCGCCGCACCCAACCAGGAGCGCGAGAGGGAAGTGGAGCGGCTGTCTCCTCCTTCCTCCGGAAAGCGGAAGCGGAAGTGACGTTAGGGAAAGGTGGGGGCAATCATGGTGCCGCTGGGGAGGGGAGAAGCTGCTGCCGCCGCCGTTGCCGGGAGCCGCGGAGGTAAAAGGCGAAACTAGACTCGGCCTGGGCTGGGACTTCCCGGGAGGCGCGGGACTTAGATTTCCTCCTGAAGCAGTTTCCAGTAGAGACCCCAGTCTGCTCTCCGTAGGACCCCACCCCTCCTCCGTTTCCATGGGGATGGGTATCTAGCCCCCCTTGCCTGTCTCCATGGAGACCCGGACCCTGCCCTTCTTCGCCCAACTAGTAGCCCCCCGGCCTATCTTAAGATTTTCCCTTGTAGTCCTGGTCTGGGGGACATTCCAGACAGGTTCTTCTCCCCAGGCTCTTCAAGGGTGCTCTGTTCGCACTCCTCGTTGGCCATCCTCAAACCTCCTAGTCGTGTTTGTTCCGGACAGTTGGTCTCTGCGTTGCCGCCAAATGTGCCGGTGCAGCCCATTGGGCCCTCGGTACTCTTATCTCTCCTCTCAGATGCAGGGAAATGTGCATCTGTGGGGTTGCGTAAGCCAGAGCAAGGGGTCGGGCCGGTTCTTCCCGGATCAGATCCCTTGACCTGTCTCTGGTAACTACCTCTCTGTCTGGCCACCCTGCTATGTAAAGGCTCACTTTGAAAACCTGAGCCGAAGAGAAAGACAAAGTACAAAGCCAAACTGAAAACTAAAAGTAATGTACTAATTATTTTTAAATTATGTTCTGCCTGTCAAACCCACGTTTGTAGAACCTGTGTGTTTGCAAGTGACGGAGAAATCACTATTTCAGACTACGAATACCTCAAATTTGGTATCTTTTTAAAGGGAGTATGTCTTCCCAAGAGAGTATATCTGTACGTCTTTCATTCATTTAACTGACATTTTCTGAACTCCTAGCAAGTGTCAGTGTAGGGGCATTTTCTCAGGCCAGAGAACCCAATATACAAGCATGCTTTCTGATCCGTACCAAGTCGTTTTATTTATTTGCTTTTATTTTTGTTTTTTTGAGACAGGGTCTGGCTGTGTAGTCCAGGCTGGCCTTGAACTCCAAGCAGTCCTCCCATCTCTGCCTCCCAAGTGCTGAGCTTACCAGCGTCCCCAACTGCCATGTTGTTTTAGAAGATAGATAATTAAATTATCTTCATTAGATGTGCATTATTAGGGATTAGCACCTTCACCCAGAAGCTGAAACATGTGTTCTAGGATGGAGGGAAAGAATCTACATCTGTTCCTGTATTTGTCAGACATTGTGCTGTGCATATCCTATTTTACTCTTTATCACAACTTTGAGAAAAATGAGGCCTGGAAAAGTTACCTAAAAATAAAGGGCAAAGACAGGATTAGTAGGTGAATGACTTATGTCCAGAGCCATGTTTCTTCTGTTGTAGGCTACATGAAACTGTTGTCCCCATGGTATGATTTGAGTGAAATTGCCTGACTTTCAGATTTAAAGCAACTCACCCATGAAGCAACCACTGTTCTATTTGTTCCTTTATTCTCTTTAGCTGTTTTGACCAATCTTCAAATTGACAGGCACATTTAGAAGGTCTTGTGAACTGCTACTTATTCCTTAGATTTTGGGGGAAATAAAGCATTTGTTTTTCTTAAGACTGACTTGATTGTATCAAAGTTAAATTTTAAAAATATTGCTGAAGATATTTTTCATTTGTTTTGGCCTTTTTAAATGCGGGAAAATGAACTGAGGTTTCTGGGGAGGTCAGTGGGTCTGGTGGTATGGCTCTAATTCTGGGTTTGTCTATTGCAGAAAGGTCATTACCTTTCCATTTCTCACAATTGGGCTGAGCACAATTCCATCATGGGGGAACACAGTCCAGACGACAACATCATCTTCTTTGAGGCAGAGGAAGATGACAAGATGCTCAGGTTTGTGGATGCAAACGGACTGGTGCCTTCCTCATCTGGAACTGTTTATGATAGGACCACTGTTCTTATTGAGCAGGATCCTGGCACTTTGGAGGATGAAGATGATGATGGACAATGTGGAGAACACTTACCTTTTCTAGTAGGGGGTGAAGAGGGCTTCCACCTAATAGATCAGGAAGCAATGTCCCAGGGTTATGTGCAACACATTATCTCACCTGATCAGATTCATTTGACTATAAACCCTGGTTCCACACCCATGCCAAGAAATATCGAAGGTGCAACTCTTACTCTGCAGTCGGAATGTCCAGAAACAAAACGTAAAGAAGTAAGTAAAGCAGTGGTTGGAGACCTGTTTTGGTTTGGGGCAACTCCTTACACAAGTCTTATTGACAGTTTTGACGGGGTAGTAAAAGAGTCCCTGGGTTTAGTGCCTACAGTGGTTTTGCCTGTGAATAGCTGTCAATATGATCAATGTTTTGTTGTGTTTGCTTTCTTGAACTTTTTGATTGTATGGCCATGTTGAAATTTAGGAATATAAATGATCTTAAATTTTCCTCCTCAAATCATACATAAAGTGGAAATTTCACTGAAGTAAGTCATGTTTCTGATGCTGAAATAACTAAATTTGGCTTATCTAATAGCAGATAACTAGATTTAGCTTATCTCTAGGTTGTGTATAAATGATTTGTTTTGGAGATGAGTATCTACTGGAATATGCTTTATTAACTTAGTGTTTAATGCATAATAAAGGCTTGCTTTCTTTTAGAAGAAATTCAGGCAAGAGACATGTCGTAAATGAATGTAGATTATCTGAAATAGATTGTCATGTTCATGTTTGGGTAATGTGAGTAAGGTAATATATGTCAGGATTCTTTGAAAACTGTAAGATATTTTATAAATTGTACTAGTGATTAATGGAATGCAAGTTACTGTTTAAAGGTAGTGGTAAACTTTATGCTAGAATCTAATTAACTTTATAAGTTAATTAGAGTAAGTAGGTCACTGGTAGTTACAGTGCTGGGGACTAAATGTAAGATGTTACCAAACAGAAATAGGGTTAAGAAAATATTTTTCTTTTTTGCAGTAATTAAGGTATTAAAATTACATATGGCTTATGGATATAGCTTATTCATGGCATTTGGCTTTTCTTTTTCTAATCTTGAAGTCTCAGAGCTAGAAGGAACCTTAGACCATCTTGTCTCCTACCTCATGCAGGAATCTCTCAGTAGCATCTCTGACATTAGTTCATTGTTCTGTGCTTGAACATTTTCAGAATGACAAGAACATAATCTTTCACAGCTCAGCCCAATACATCTGTTGGCCCACTCTGCTTGTTAGAAGGCTTTTGCTTATAGAGAAGCAAAATCAGGCTTCCCGCAGTGCTGCCCACTGGGTCTAGATCTGCCTTCCTGAGTAACCTTCCTCTCACAGGACAGCCCATCAGATACATAAAGATCATGGGCCTCCTTTTATCTTAGTACAGACCAGCCACCTCCAATTAGTTAAGTATCCCTCTTATGACATTTTCTTCCAGTCTCTTGATGGCTTTGTCAGCTTTAATTGAATAGATTCCAGTTTTTTAAAGTTCTTTTAAAATTCAAAGTTGAGCACAATCTTGCAAGTGTGAGTCAACTAGCACTGGATACTGCTTATCCCTTAATCTGGACACTGTACTACAGTTACTGTGTAGCCTGTATTTTATTGGCATCAACATCTTAACTGTTAGCTTGTATTGGGAACCTGTAGAAAAGTGGTTCTCAACTGGGGATAATTTTGCTCCCCAAAAGACATTTGGTAATGCCTGGAGACATTTTTGGTTGTCACCCTGGGGTGTTGGTACTAAAATCTAGTGGGTAGAGGCTAAAGATGGTGTTAACATTTTATAATGCACAAGATGGCCCCACAACAGAGAATTATCTGACCCAAAATGTTAACAGTGCTGTGAGTGAGACATTCTGCCTCTATTATTCTTTTGAGTGCAGCTGTCAAGTCTTGTGCATTTCCATCTGGAGACCTGTGTGTAAGCCTTAAGAATGTCTCCCAACTAAGCTGAGGCAGGAGGTGTGTGAATTCCAGGCCAACCTGGGCTACCTTGCGAGAACCTGTCTCAAAGCAAAACAAAACAAAACAAAATACTGGTTTCAGCCCAGTATTTAAGCTTGTAGGAGTTCATTTCAACTCAACAAACATTTATAAAGTAATGTGTTGCTCTGTGAGGTTGCTGATGATTATGGCAATTTACAGTATAGAAGTAGAAAGATGTTTATGGCAGTAATCATAACATTAGACGTAATGTGGCAAATGTGAAGGAGAGGTACAGATATCACACTGGGAACACAAAGAAGCTCACCTTTAGGATAAGGCAAATCTTCATGAAAAAGATAGCATTTGGGCTTTTCTTTTTTAAGTACACACAGTATTTGCAGCACTTGAGCTAGCCTTTTTTTTTTTTTTTGTACGGGGAATCGAACTCGGGTCCTTGTGCTTGCACAGCGGGCGGAGAAGCCACTGAGCTAAATCCCCGGCCCTCTTGAGCTAGTCTTGAAGAATGTGTACAGTTGAGGGGAAAAGCAGGGGTCCTTTCAAGAGACAGGAACAGCATAAACAAATATGTGGAGGTACAAAACACAGGCAGTTTTTAAGGAATAGCAGTTATCCTCTTAGAACACTGTCGTGCACTTTCTATAAAGGGCTAAATAGTAAGTATTCTATGTTTTGCAGGTCATATGGCCTCTGTTGCAACTACTCAAATTTTCCACTATAGCACAAAAACAACTATAGGATAGTATATAAATGAATGAGCATGGCTTTGTTCTGATAAAACTTTATTTACAAAAACAGGCAGTGTGCTAGATTTGGCCTAATGGCTGTAGTCGACCCGTGGACTAGAGCATAGGGAGTAACAGGAGATAAGGGTGGAAAGATAGCCGACATCCAAACCTGGAAGCCAGTGTGAAAACATGCTAAGGGTTTGAACTAAATTCCAGAAATAGTGGGAAACCACTTCAGTGTGTGAGCCAGGGAACAAAGTGATTATAGAGTGGCATTTTAGATGGAGCGCTCTAGCAGAAGTTGTTGCTTGGAGTTAAAAGGAGCTGGAGACTAAGTGCCCAATTAGAAGACACTTTTAAGCCAGACGTGGTGGCACACACCTGTAATCCCAGGACTAGGAAGGTTGACATAGGATCGTTGTGAGTTTGAGGCCAACCTGAGCTACATAGTGAGTGCAGGGCCAGCCTGAACTACATAGTAAGACCCTGTCTCAAAAAAAAAAAAAAAAAAAGACACTTTCAGTGTAGGTTTGGGGTTTCGTTTAATTCTGATGAAGGAAAGAATCAAGAGCTTTCATAGAGGTATGAGAAAATTCTGTACGTTATTAGAATTTGAGGAATGAGCCTTGAGTTGGGTGTAATTCAAACGCTTTGAATCATGTTGATTGAAAAGTTTCATCCATTTCTCCAATTGTGTTGAATTTCTGGTTGTGTCTTAGCATAGCTGGTGAAGAGTTAAGTAGTAAACAGTCCACTGTGGTTGGCATGTTCATATCACCCCCAGTGCTACTGAGGAGAAAGTGGCTAACTCTGCTCTCTACCCTCCACTTCCTGCCCCCTAAATGGTGATTCCATTAGCAGGAATCAAGACAGGAAGAGGGACACGTTTGGTGGAGAAATTGATGATTTGATGATTTTGGGTGGAGTATATTGAATGTGTAGTCCTTGGAGAAAAATAATGAGAACAAGTTGAATGCCCATTGGAAACATGGGTCTGAATTCAAGGAAATAATGTGGGATTAGAATCAAAGATCCATGGAAGGACAGTAGTTCAAACTATAGACAGTTTACTCAAGGAAAAAATAAGAGTTGGTCTGAGAATTGAAGGATTGAAAAGAGGAAGAGGAACCAGAGAAGATTACAGAAGTCAAAGAAATGGGTGGAACGCAGTGTCAGGAAGCGTGACTATTTGAATATGACCCTGCAGAGGAGCACCTGGCTCAACCAGTTCACATCCTAAGGAGAGACTGGAGGCCGAAGCCAAAGTTTGAATGATGATGAAATGGGTCATGAGGAAGCAGGAAGTGTCAGGTTTGGGTTTTTTGTGGTTTTTTGCAGTAGTAGAGATTGAACCCAGGACCTTCACAGTGAACTACATCTCCAGTCCAGTTTTTTTTGTTGTTTTTTTTGAGATAAGGTCTCACTAAGTTGTTAAATTGCCCAGGATGGGCTTGAACTTGGAAGTTGGAGGAAGAAGAGTGATGAGGCATTAGTTGCTCAGAGGGATTAATTTTATTTTATATTTATTTATTTATTTATTTTTGAGATAGGGTCCCTCACTGTGCAGACCAGGTTGGTCTTAAACTCACTTTGCAGCCCAGGGTAGCAGTGGTCCTCCTGCCTCAGTCTCCAAAGTGCTGGGATTATAGGCGTGTACCACCACACCCAGTTTTTTTTTTTAAAGCATAGAAAGTTTGAACATGGTTTTGGACCTAACTAGCCCATCTTTCGTATTACTGTGTGAAAATATTTCATGAACAGATGTTTGGGAAATGTTAAGTTAAACCAAGTCAGAAATTTATTATAGGACTTCTCACTCTTTCATCTGCTAATAACTAAAAAGGAAGAAAATGCAGAATTGTCCAAATGTTGTAAACTTGGGAAACACATTTTCACAGCCAGCATCGGTGGAGTACATTTTGGGAAATGCTGACCTAGGCAGAAGAGGAGAAGATGGTAAGGAGGGAATGATTATGCAATGAATATTAGCTGTCCCTTTCCGACTTTGTAATATTTGCAAATTGGTTTATTCTCTGCTCAAAAGCCTAGTTTGTCATTCATGTCTTCATGATGAACCCAACAAGGTTAACAATGTCGTGGGCACTGTGTTAAATCTGATTTTTTTTTTTTTGGTACCGGGGATCGAACTCGGGACCTTGCGCTTTCAAGGCAGGCAGTGGAACCACTGAGCTAAATCCCCAACCCTAATTCTGATGTGCATGTGGCTCATTCCAGTTTTCTTCCAACCCCCATGTTTTCATTCCCATCCATGAGACCTGTGTAGATAATTCTAAAAACTAGTCTTGAAATTGCTAAGAATGAAGTTAGGTGGGGACTGAAGGAGAAGCAGCAGTAGCTTTAGTCTCTGAAATCTGGTTTTGTTTTTTGAGACAGGATCTCACTATGTAGTCTCATTTGGTTTCTTTTTTTTTTTTGGTACTGGGGATTGAACTCAGGTCCTTGCACTTGCGCAGCAGGCGACAAAACCACTGAGCTAAATCACTGCCCCTCACTATATAGTTTGGGCCGGCCTTGAACTAACAGCAATCCTCCT